TCGGCCTGTCGAATTCAGAGCTCGGAACTCGGTCTGCTGCCGGAATCAGGTCTGCATATTGTTCGAGTCATCCTGAGATGTGCTGTCGGTTTTCTGCACTTAACTCGGGCTGTAGGGGTGATGCAGGGCTGGTAATGACAGGAGTCGATTCGCAGACATCAGACGCGTCCGCCTGTCGCATTCAGAGGTCAAAAATATTTCACTACTGGAATGTCGTAGGTGCTGTTGCTTTTCTCAACTTAAGTCGAGCTAGGAGGCTCTACGAGTCTCCCGGCGGTAACCAAGGTTGACGGTTTACTGCCGGCGCCCAGTTATTGCTGGAAGCTTAAGAATAATTCCGGAGTGCTGGAGAGCTAGTTGGCAAGAAAAAATCCGCGGCGCCGGCGGTAAACCGTCAACCTTCGTTTTTTTTTTGGGGGAGGCTGACCAGGCACCGAGCGCCCCAGCGCCCGTTAAGTGCCTACCTAGTCTCTCTGCAGCTGGAGGTCTTGGGCCACCTGGACTGCGGCCCGCAAGAGGCCCTCGAGACCCGAAAGCTCAGCGTCAGTGATACTGCTATGGGAGGGGAGTGCCTGTGCACAACGCCCTACTATTTCCCATATGATTGGACAAGGAGAGGAGGCTTGGGGGAAGAGGGAGACTACACGAGCTCTCTTATCTCTATGCTCAGGGTCAGGGTAAGGGTCATGGAATCGAGGAATATATCCAATCTGCAGAAACCAGCCAACGCCCACACCTTGGGCACACACTCCGCCGTCGAAGGATCCGCGGAGGCCAATAACTCGAAAGTTGTCTCGGACATCAGAACGAAAGATATGGTGGTGGAACAGCTCTCTGAATATCTGGCCTTCCCGTGCTAAGTGGGTAAGTTCATCAGCTACTGTGTTACTCTCTCGATATATGTGTCGAATGAAGTCGTTGCCCCATGAGGGGGGTCGTATTCCTTCCTCCTCCAACTCTTCCAAAAGAGAAATAATATTTGCCACCCGCCTACGATAAGAAGCCCCATCTCCTCCTTCTCCTCCCTCAACCTTCCAGAGACCATTGATCCAGTTACAGATAAGAAGCGAATCGCCCGTCAGCTCGAGACCGATCCCATCATCACTCAGATCCCAAGTCGGCTCCTGTTCATTGTTCGAGGCCAATCTCTGGGCCAGCTTCTCGGACTCCTTCGCCGACAACGGACGAGCCAACATCTCCTCCCCCCTCTCCTTTATGTAGTCTCCTCTCCCTCCAGTTCCTCCACGGACAACAAACAAGTCAAACAGAGACCCCAAAGTACAAGCTTCCAGGAACTGCCTGCAATACTGAACGAAGTCAGAGTAAGAGAAAGAGCACGCCCTCCACCACCGATCCTCCAGATTCACAAACGAGGGAAATATCGTCTGGAACATGAAACACCAAGGATGTTCACCCGTCGCCTGCCCCTTAGTACTGCCTAATCGTGTCAGTTTCGAGGCCTCCTTCCACTTCCACTGTGAACGCCAATATTTTGACTCCAGTGTCCTTTTCTCCTCCCACCTCGGGGTACAGCACATCAGAAGCCGGCGTGCGTCACGATGCGCACGAGGATACACCGTCTGTTGTCCAGGTCCAGGAACAGCCACCCTCCGACGTTTCGGGGGGGGCCTGGGGGAATCCCTAGGCCCCCCCCGCTCACAGGGAACTTCAACATCTCGAGAAGAAGAGGCCCTATCAGAGGGCATAGCAGAAGAGACCATCCCATGCATATCTGAAGAGACAGCGCCCATCCCATTCGTATCTGAGGAGACTGCGCCCATCCCATTAGTAACTGCAGAGACAGCACCCATCCCACTGGTAACTGAAGAGACTCCCACCATCCCATTAGTAACTGAAGAGACCACACCCATCCCACTGGTAACTGGAGAGACCATCCCATGCATATCAGAGACAGCACCCATCCCACTGGTAACTGAAGAGACTCCCACCATCCCACCAGTAACTGAAGAGACCACATCCATCCCACTGGTAACTGGAGAGACCATCCCATGCATATCAGAAGAGACCACACCCATCCCATTCATATCTGAAGAGACTGCACCCATCCCACTAGTAACTGAAGAGACAGCCCCCATCCCATTGGTAACTGAAGAGACCTCCCCCATCCCATTGGTAACTAGAGAGCCCGCGACCATTCCTGGGCTCAGCTCCGACTCAGGAATCTGATATCCGCTGTCGACATTAGCTCCAAAATATGATGCTATGTCAGCTCCAAGCTGCCACAAGGAATAAAGAACTCTCTGCACTGCACTCTGGCACTTTGCTTCAAAGAACATCCGTCTAGCAATTCTGAGTCGAGCTGGCTTCCAAACAACCCAACTTTCGGAGGCTGGCTTTTGGGGTGACGTCATCTGGTAAAGACAATTTCCCTCAAAGACATTCAGGCTCTGCAAGGAGTCCCTGTCCCAACTAATACCTTGACTTCCATAAATGAGAATGCTCTGAACCCGAGTGATATAACTCCTACACTTGGCCGAAAACGGGACTGCCTTTGATCTAAAATAAGCTGCATGCGCATGGAAGGCTCGTCGCGCGGCCCCGATCCGCCGCCGAAGGTCCTGGTGTGCCTCCCTATAGCTACAGTATATGCTGTTCCCCAAGACATTCATCTCATCAACTACTTTGAACGGCACCATCTGATCCTGAACCCGAACCAGGATAGGATGTTTTGGCTTCTCCGAGAAACCGATAAACGCGACCTCGAGCGACTCGATCTTCCATTCGAATCCCCATCCCCGCAGAGTCTCTGTCATGTCTCCTACCTGTCGCCTAAACTCCTCCTCCGAAGATCCCAAGATAAAGATGTTGTCGGCATATAGCAAGTGGTGTACAGGAACCGAGGCCGAAACTTCTCCCACCGAGTTTGGATCCAGACAATGAAACCCAATCCCCTGCTCATCCCAAAGCTTAAATAAAGGAGCCCACATCGCAACGACTATCAGGTTCCACAAGGAGGGGCTGTCGTTCCCACCTGTCCTGATGTGGGTATCAATTCCCACATCTGGCAGCTGCAAGCCCTGGAAGAGAAGCGAAGTGACCTCGCACGGCATAGGCACGAGCACACCGTACTGGAGCCAGGGAGGGATAGAGAGGACGTCGAACGCACGTTTGACCGTCGAGATTTTCGTGTTCTGGAAAGCTTGCTTCACATCCGCTGACCCCAGAACCAGACGTCGATCCTTCCCCCACTGTGAGGCGTGTTGTGCTGCTGCCTTAAGTCCTGCAAATATCTCGGTGCATGATCTTTTGGGAACGAAACCGAATAACGATGCATGAGTGCCAGCCTGGAGACAATATGGTTCAAGCATGATCGAGAGACAAGTACTGTACCACTTCTTAAAGATACTCTCCACAGAAATACGCCTCGTATCAGAAACATCGCATATCGGATAAGATTTGGGAAGTAGTGTCGTCAATGTTTGATGCCAAGAAGATGGAGGTACAACAATGCCACGTAAGATATCACAAAATAATCGCTTGATAGTGCGAACGGCTCTCCACGGAAGCGCTTTGATTACTTCTGCCCCCACCCCGTCTGGTCCCGTGGCTTTTCCAGGGTTGAGTCGAGCTCGGGCCCGAAGGACCACCGCCATCGTGAGCGTCGCCTCCTGGGGTCTGGGGGACCCCTGGAGCTCCTCCCTGAGGCCCTGGACAATCTTGATCGACCGCCGACGCTCCTCCTCATCCTCGCAGACCTCCTTCAACTTCATCATCTCCTCCATCCACCTCTCCCTGTCCACGCTCTCCTCCCCCTCAATCTTCACCGCCTTCAAAGCTGCTTTACGTGGACGCTCCGCTTCCCATTCCAGCTTTGCTCGTTTGAATTTTCTCGCTTCCCGATCTCTTTTTCTGCGTAGAAGTCGATAGGCTAACGTCCCCCTCTCCGCCCTCCTCCGGTAGACCTGCACATCCAAGGACCGCAGCAACTCCGATCGTTCAGGGGGTCGAGCTGGGCGCTTCGGGGTACATTCGGTGGCCGACGCACACGAATAGATAACACTCTCTGCCTGACACATAAGTTGGCACGAAAATAGATTGGCATCCAACAACTGGCGACACGATCGACGAGCAGACAAGTTGAGTGGGTCCCAGCCTTTCAAGGTTCGAGAACGTCGTGAGAGATTCCGTCTCGCCGACTCCCTGGAAGCCACTCTCAGAGAAGCTCGAACAAGGGCATGATCTGATAATCTCATCACGGCTCCCTGCTGCTGTCCTACGTACAGAAACTCAACCGAGCACCCCGACACCTGCGATCCATGAGGAACAAGGATGTAATCCAGCACTTCACGGCGGGACCCCTTCCGATAATCAAACCAAGTCGGCTTCCTAGCTCCAAAAGAATTCGAAGCACACATACGCTCCTGAACCAACCAATCCTCCACCTCCTGTCGCAAGCTCTCCACCTTCTCCTTCCTCTCCCGCTCCTTGGTCCCCGTGGCCTGGATCTGCACTACCTCCAAGCCTCCTCCCGAATAAACCTCCTCCTCATGCTGTAAGTGTGGCTGTATCTCAACATTCGCATCCATGGCAACAACAAGACGACAGAAGCCATAACGACGGCATACGTACTTTCTGAGCAAGCTCACCGACTGGAGTGCACAATGTGATATCTCCAGAAACTCGGGCTGGCTGGCATCAGGCAAGTACAATGAGACAAAGAGCATCCGTCCAGCAAGGATCGCGCACCACCTCTCTGAGGCCCATTGGCCTCGAACACTATCAGCCCTCCGATAGAGTATCATAGCACGGCGATCCTCCGAGACGTGGTAGTACAGTCCCATTTTGACAAGCCATTGCGCCATAACGTCGATGTTCTGAGACTCCTGTACCCCCAGGAAATCCCAGCCTAGGTGTGCTCCGTAGACTACCCTCGTCAGAACACTATAAGCTTTGTCATCCTTCCTCCCCGCACGTTGAAGGTTGAGCGTGGCGAAGCGGACTTCCGTCGGCTCCGCCCGTCGGCGTCACTGAGAAGCAGCCCTGGAGTCCGTGACTAGCTCCTCGAGCTCTGTCGCCGTCATGGTGATGCCGTGCCTCTGGGCGAAAGACGTCCAAGCTGCTGGGATAACTCGCCACTGCCCAGATCCCCCGAAGCTGGCCGCCTGATACTCGGCCAGCAAGCTCCGCTTCCCCTCAACGGGGTCAGAGTACATCGTGGACGGCGACTTTCCGTATCCAGTCGATCCTTTGAGGAAGATGGTGGGGTGCTTCCTGCTCCAGACACCATAAAATCGGCCAACTGCTTGATTGTGTGGGATCTTCTCGTCTGGGACCTCTGCACGAACTCTCAAACGAGACACCTTCGACTTCACCTTGGTGTAAAAGGCGTGGTTAAGCGATTCGTCATCATTTATACGTGTGAGAGCGCGCTGTACAGCATAGACCACTTCACTCCCTGCCCCAACCTTAAATCTAATCTTGATATTCCCCGTCATCGGTTTCGATCTGGCAAGTTTCTCAGAGCTGACCACATCCACTTGACCGTGTAACTGCTCGTTATCCGCTTTCAATAGACCCAGGGTGTTCTGGAGTAGTGTGCAGGCATCCGTATCGTCGATCATCGTAAGTTCCCTACTCGTGCGATTCGACCAGTCCTGGACCCATCCGTACAATTCTACATATGTAGGAGTAAATTTTGCCGTCGATGTTCGTCCTGCAAATCTCGGGGCTGCTATCGTAGAGTTAGAGGATCCAATCGAAGCAGTATCCTGGCTGGCCAGGGTCTCCAAGTTCTTAAGCCTAATCTCCTGCTCCTGCTGTTTCTTCTCAATGGCCGTGAGTTTCTCTGTCTGGACCCCGAGACGTTGATCCATACTACTAATACGCACGTCAGTGGCCACCGAGGCGGCCTTCGACTCATCATGATTCTGAAAGGACATCTGCATGAACAATCGCAAACTCTCATCTTTTTGAAGACTCAGAATTTTCTCTCTCATGGCCTTTTGATCACGAATGTCACCTCCCGTCTTGTCCACCTTCTCCTCCTCCTCCATATCCGTCTTCATCCTCTTGCTACCCTGACCGTCAACCTCCATTTCTTCTGGAAAGAACTGGCGAAACGACCCTTCTTGAACTTACAGAGACACCAAGAACGATGCGAGTAGTGTCGATAAGGTCGGGAACGACGAAATATGCAACACTCTAGGCGACAGTAATCCTCCCAATAGAAGTCTTCCAGATCTGCAAAGAATCGATCCCAAACACAGCTAGGCTCTCCGAGAGGATATAAGACGTTCCACCCTCCTGCTGGCTCTCCGAAGCTGTTCGTGACCGCACAGACGATACAACAATACTCAACTCGCACACGTGGAATGAATAATGGACGAGAGCAAAAATGGAAGAAGGCACGCTCCCAAGAACAAAAGCAGATGCAGACGTATGCGTGCTCCACTCGTACCAGCAGGGCGTTGCCTCCCAGTAACCAGTTCAATCAGGAGCCTGATGCCAGCAGAGGGGCCGCAGGCTGTCCAAGATGTGTGCGGAAGAGTGTACAGTATGTGGAACCCAACTCCCTACTGCACAATGCAGCTCGAGAGAGCCCCCCGGCGGGGCAAGGCCGAGGGAGAGCGGGAGGTAAGCTCCGCGTCCTCAACCTTCGTTACCGCCGGGGGACTCGTAGAGCTTCCTGACAACATATAATGTAGAATAAACAATTACACCGAAAAAATATTTTTTCAGCCGAAGCAATTTCAAACCTCTCGGATGCAACAGCCAAACGTCCCAGATGCTTCTGGATTGTCTTCTGTACGAGCTCTGTAGCTCTTCTACAGCCCGAGTTATGTGCGTATGTAAATCGACAGCACCTCTCAAAAGAACTCGAACAATACGAATAGTTTGGCAAATTCGCTGCCCGGAAGCTTTGCGAGGCCTCTGGAGCACGTTCTACGGGAATGTATTGGAACAGACGCTTCGGGACACGCTGCGGAACCCGAACCCCCACGGAGGGGCACGTGGAGCGGTTGGCGGAAGGGTGCGGCGGCGTACGCGCACCGGCCGGCTTCTTCTCTAACAACCCTACGTAACTCACGAGGCTATCCGGGAACACCCCCGGGGACGGGAAATCTTTCCGTGAGAGCTCTGGGGGCCCCCTGCAGCGCTATTGCAGCGCTGCCAGGAACGCTTCCATGCGTGTCTGCACGCATGCAGGCACTCTTGGAAGCTCGCCAGAAGCTCCCCCGGACCAGTTGCCGGTTTACCGGAGCTGCTGCGGGGAACGTGGACCGCCGTGGAAGAGCTCCTGGCGGCCACCACCACCGTCCGGCTTCTGATCTTAAACCCTCTAGCTCTGAGCGAGCTCGAGCTTGCTTAGGGAAGCTCTACGAGTTACTTGTCTGCCCGGAACGTGGGCGCGCCAATCCCAGTTCCTCGCCCCAGGCGAGACGAGACGTGCCCGCGTTCGTGCGAACGCTTGTCAGGCAGCCCCGGCACGCTTGACAGCCTCGAGCTTGTTTGAAACGTGCGTGGTGGCGCTGGCAAGCTTGCCTGGCACGCTTCCGGGAAGCTGAGAGCGACGCTTCCACGCGTGCCTACACGCGTGGGAGCTCGCTGCCCGGGAGCTTCCCGAGGCCTCTGGGGCACGTTCTACGGAAACGTATTGGAATAGACGCTCTGGGACACGCTGCAGAACCCGAGGAGCCAGGGAAGGCAACGTGGAGCGGTGGACGGAAGGGTGCGGCGGCGAACGCGCACCTGCTGGCTTCTTCTCCAACAACCTTACTTTTCCCGGGAAGCTCTCTGAGAGGTAGAGGGTTTTAAATTAAAGGCCGGACGGTGGTGGTGCCCGCCAGCAGCCCATCTCTGCCGCTCCACGGTCCTCGCAGCAACTCGCCCGTCCCGGAGCGGGTTTGGGCGCGCGTCCGGCGCGCGTCCGCGCGTGCCTGCACGCGTGCAGGCACGCGTGGAAGCGTTCCTGCCAGCGCTTCGGAAGCGCTGCAGGGGCGCCCACGGAGCTCCAGAAACGCTTCACGAGAGCGCTGGGGGCTCGCCAAGAGAGCTTTCCAGTGTGTGTTCTCTTTGCTCTCCGGGTTTTGGACGCTACCAAGATCCGGGGCAGGGCGGAGCTAGTTGGTCGACCTAGCCCGGACGGATAGTGTTCCCGGGGAGCTCTCTGAGAGCTAGACGGTTTTAGAATAGAAGCCGGACGGTGGTGGCGCCCGCCAGCAGCCCATCTTCGCCCGACCAGAATCCTCGCAGGGGTTCGCTTGATGCCGCAGCCCGTCCGGGGGAGCTTCCGGCAAGCGCCCACACGTGCCCGCACGCGTGGAAGCAGGCGTGGAAGCGTTCCCGGCAGCGCTTCAGAAGCGCTTTCAGGCCCAGAGGCGCTTCACGAGAGCGTCCGAGGGCTGGCCAGGAGAGCTTGCCGGTGTGTGTGTTCTTTGCTCTCCGGATGGACTCGTAGAGCTTCCCTAAGCTAGCAGCTGGAAGCTTAAGAGTAATACCTCGTAGAGCTAGAGGAATAACTCGTAGAGCTTCCCTTAGCTAGTTATAGCTGGAAGCTAAGAGTAATTCCGGCGCGCTGGAGAGCTAGTTGGCAAGAAAAATCTCGACGGAGCTTTTGCTGACTTTTGCTCAGTTGAAAATTTGGTTCTCGAAATTTGAACATTCGTTAGAGCTCTAGTATTTTGTCCCATGATATTTGATCTTATTCCCGCTTGCCATCTTGATCTCAGCTCGATCGGGTAACTTTGAAGGCCAAAAAGCACACGGGCGGGAACGGCCGTTTCGAGTCATCTTGATACGCGCTGTCAGTTTTCTCAAGATAACTCGAGCTTTAGGACAACTACAGAGCTGTTCAGCACAGCTAATGCATTCAGAATGATCAGACGCGCTCGTCTTTTCAATCCAGAGGTCTGAAATCGGTCTGCTAGCCGAGCTAGGGTCGCAAACCTATTTGTATTATTCGAGTCATTGTAGCAGACGCTCTCGGTTCTTCGTACTTAACTCGATATGTAGGGCAACCACAGGCCGATAATCACAGAAATCGATTGAGAACTATCAGGCGCGTCCGTCTGTTGAATCTAGAGCTCAGAACTCGGCCTGCTTCCCGAGCTAGGTTCGCGAACCTATTGGTATTGTTCGAGTCATCTTGAGAAGTGCTCTCTTTTCTCTTTACTTAATTCGTGCTGGGGGAGGGCTACAGTGTTGCTGGTCACAGGAATCGGTTTTTAAGACATCAGGCGCGTCCGTTCGTCGAACCGAGAGCTCGCAACTCGGTCAGCTGCTTGAACGAGATTCGCGAAACTGTTGTATTATTCGAGTCATCCTGAGAGGTACTCTCGGTTTTCTGCACTTAACTCAGGCTGCATGGGGGGCTGCAGAGCTGGTAATCACAGGAATCGATCCGTAGACATCAGACGCGTCTGATTGTCGCATTCAGAGCTCTGAACTCAGTTCCATACTCGAGCTCGATTGGAAAACTGTTCGTTTGTTTGTTAGAGTCATCTTGAGAGGTCTATAATCGCTTGGGCTGAAAAACTAGTCGTTCTCTGAAATTTTTCCACATTATATGGCGCCGGCGGTGAACCGTCAACCTGGTCACCGCCGGGAACTTCGTAGAGCTCCTAGCACGCGTAAGAGTGCTTAGCATGAAAAGAGAGGGCTTCTGGAAGCATTTCTCGAAAAAGAGAAAACATGATTTGTTTGATGTCGACATGAAGTTGGTTCCGCCAAGTGTTTCAATGGTAAAAATGCACCTAGAGAGCTTATATTAAGAGAGAGAGGCCCTCATATTTGTCTACAGGTGCGAAAAATCTGCTTTCTCAAAATAAATGGTCAAATATCTTTCAAATATTCGCAAAACCACCCAAAAGTTGCCACATTGTCCGCCTCGGCCGGGTGGGCCAACTAGCTCCACCCCGCGCCGGAATTCCTCTAGCTCATCGACTGGCGCCGGCGGTGAACCGTCAACCTGGTCACCGCCGGGAACCTCGTAGAGCTCCTTGAATCCGTGAGAAAGCTCAGCATCAAAGCGGGAGCTTCTGGGAGCTTTTCTACAAAAACTTCAAGTTGAGATTTTTTCGGAGTCAACATGAAGTCGGTTCCTTCAAGTGAACTGGTACTGAAAATGACTCTAGATGGCCGAGCTGATCAGGGAACGAAGTTTATATCTCAATGCTCGGAGTAAAAATCTGCTTTTTCAAAATGAATTGTCAAATATCTTTCAAAAAATTGCAAAACCACCCAAAAGTTGTCACATTGTCCGCCTCGGCCGGCTGGACCAAAGTTCTCACTCCCAGCGAAGCTATTCATATGAAGTCTCGCGCTCTCAGTGAGA